GGAATGGAGGCATCTGGGTGGCTCAGTGGGGTAAAGCCTCTGCCTTCGGCTCAGGTCATGATCCCAGGGTCCTGGGATCCAGTCTGGGATCGAGGCCCACGTCCGGCTCCCTGCTCCGTGCAGTCGGCTTCTACCTCTCCCTCAGCTCATGCTCCCTCTGCCTCAAATAATAAAAGAAAAGAAAAGAAAATGAAAGGAAAGAAAAGAATTGGCAGGAATGAGTTTGAATTTTCAGCTGGAGCTGAGTGAACCTCCATCCCCATATCACTATAGACTAGGTCTCTGGTCCCCTTTATCCCTGCATTATCCCTACCATGCAATGAACTCCACATTTACTCTCAGCACCCATACCCTGCCAGCTTCTTTTATTTAAGGCATCTACTCTGCATGTAGTTGTGCAGGTATACCCTGATAAGGACTTTCATCCCAGTTCCCTGCCAAGGCTTGCATCTGAGGGGTCTTATTGCCAAGATGGACATTTTTTCTCATTTATAGAAGGGAACCCATAGCAGCCCTTACAAGATTCTGCTCTATACCTGGAAAGTCCAAAGAGCAAGGATGTTATCTTGTCTCCTTTGACTCTATAACCCTGAGGCCAGACATATAATAGGACTTTTAAAATATAAGACAAATAAATGATTCTTGAATACATATTTCTAATTTCTGCCATCTACAAAACATTATTTGTAAGGACAGTCAAAAAATTTAAGGTGTTTTTGGAAGACTACTGACATCTTTATAATCACCAGCCCACAGGGTCTGGACCTCTTTGAGGATAATTCTGTGGACCTTGTATCTCCTTATTGACTGGTTAGTTTGTTCCATTTCAAGAGATTCTACTTTTCCTATTTGCAATGTACTATAGTACCCTCATGGAACTGAAGCCTGGGCACCCTACCAGCCCCTCAAGTCCATCTAGTCTGTCCTACCTTCCATTTACCCAGCTGTGCACCTGAAATCCCAATATGCCTTACAACTGAGTACACCCAAAATGTAACAGTAAATTCCATCAATCCATTCTCTATATCCACAAGCAAACATCCTTTACAGACGTATCCACATACGCAAGTACATACAAAGATAAATAAAACTAGAAAACATTTTTGGTTCCAATCTATTTTATCCATATGTTTTAAAACATATATACAAACAGAATAATTTTGCTCATTTGTTTACTTATTTAGACTTCTCTAGGAAGGATCAGAAGGGATTAATAAAAAATAACAAAAACACTTATTTAAAAAATCAGGACCAAGAAAAATATTAATTAGGTTAAAAGGTCATAAGCAAAGATTAGAACCCATGTCCAAAGTCACAAAATTATCTCTGAGATTCTTAGCAAACCAGAAGAAAAGAAAAACAAAACTAGTTTACTGATATAGCTCTGAGAAAAATACATGCCAGTATTTTCCCGCAGAAGCAACACTTTCTTTAGTACCGAATTCTGAAAGAAATTTATGATTTGTGGTAACCTGTGGTCAGGGGTGGTGGCTGGGGAGAGTCGGTGATGGAATGATGTCTTGGATAATACTCTTTACAAATGCAGGAAGCCTTCATAACATTTTCTCCGGGCATTCCAAGTGAAAGGTGAAGGTGTGACACAAAATATGACTCAGAGGAGACAGTTCTACAGATGACCCAGAAAAAAACGGACTCAAGTAAGCAGCTTTCTGCTGATGCACTGTGATCAGAGAAGAAATCTTGAAGTGATATTTCTCAAAGGCCAAGCAACAGACCACACATCAGCAAAACCAGGGAATGCTTATCAAAACCACATGTCCTGCAGATCTATAGAATAGCAGTCTCTGGGGATGAGTCTGGAAATCTGTAGATTTTACAAGTTTTCCAGGATTCTTAAATACATCAGACCCTAGAACCACTGCCCTAGAGCACTGGTTTTTAGACTTTTTTTTTTTTCTTTTAGGTTATTAAAGAATTTTTACGTATTTTGTATCATTTCGTGTGTTTTAGGTTGACATCTAAAATTTGTTATTGTAAGTTTAGGTAGTTACAATAAAATGGATATTGTGTAATATTGAAATTTTCAAATAAATCTTTTATATCACTTTAAAATGTACGCACTTAATCTTAAAACCTCATATCCAATAATATCTAAAACCATGACTAAGCCCTTCTTTAGCAGCCAAAATTTTTATATTTTTTTTCCTTCAATGCATGTTTCCACCACACTTCCCCCACAGAATTTTATTCAAATGTAATGTATTTTATGCTTGGAAGACTTCTTTTTTTTAGGATTTTATTTATTTATTTGAGAGAGAGAGTGATAGTGAGAATGGGGCTCCATCCCAGTACCCTGGAATCATGACCTGAGCTGAAGGCTGGGGGTTCAACCAACTGAGCCATCCAGGTGCCCCTAAAGACTTCTTTTTTATCACCTTATCATACCTCTCTGCAAAATATGTAACACTGAAATTTTATTTTTTACTTTTTGTAACCTTAAGATTTTTTTCAGAGTTGCATTGGGATTATAATTATTAGTACACAACTAAGAAAAACAATTTTCATGAATAATTTTAAGTATAACAAGTTATTTTGGAAATGCTCATGTTAATTGATGGGTAGACTGTCCCCTCCCCCCATTTAATTCACATATTGGTGACTATTATATTATAGGTGACTATTACTTACCACTAGAATAATACAGGTTTCAGAATCAATTTTATTTATATTATTTGCTTTACATTCAATATTCACTGAGAAAATTTGTTTACACAAAAAAGTAGATAGGAATGGAAAGTGTTCTGTTACAGTAGTGTCACTGAAATTTTTGAACTCTTTCTGAATTATAAGCCAAACCCATATAGTAATTTATCATCAAATCTCATTTGTAATAAATTTAAGCTGACAATTTGATTAGGGCATCCTTCAATTTTGTTGAAAGCAAAGAATTGGAAACCACCTGACCTGCAAAATAATTTGCAGTCCAGTCATTAACAATCATTCTCTCCCCTTAACCCAACACCAGCATTTTGGAATTGTGGTTAGTTTAATGCCCTAGTTTAATGTGGTTAGTTCAAAAACCTAGAGGTTTTAAAAACACATCCCCAGAACAAATCACTGAAGTAAGATTGTTTCTCTTACTTCAAGTTACCCAAGTAAGATTTCAGATGGTTGAAAGGTATTCCATTTTAACAAGAGGGGGAAATGTGGTTAAGCGAAGGGAGATGGGGAAAGTGGCCAAGGGGCATTTACAGGCAGATCCATTTCAGTAAAGAGTACTTGTGGAAATTGAGGATCCAGCAAAAGACTCAGTGAAAACCACCCTCGTTTCCTCATTTCTTGAAATGCCTTTGTGAAATTTCACGTACCTCAGTTTGAAGACCATTGTATAAGTATCTGGACCCACTAAGAGAATGCACCACTTTCAAGAAGATCTCAACAATAACACAAGGAATTCAAGAGACCTGAAATGTATCTCAATCTTCCTAACTACCAGGATTCACTCCAAATGTAGAGCATCCTAGCTTGGGACAGCTATAGAGAAGTAAAACACAATAACAGCCAGCACAGGGAGATGTGGGTGATCTTTAAAAGCCTACAAATTTTGTTTATAATTTTGCTAGCATTTCTCTCCTTATTTTAGTTAATGGAATTCTTATAATATCTTCAAGGGTTGAGCTGGCTCTGGGTCAGAAAGGACCAGCCGGTCCTCCTGTTTCCTCCCTGAGGAATTCTGTAATTTTGTTGCCACAACCAAAACTGAGGGAGGGGAGGATAGGAAAGCTTTTTTCTCTCCCTCCCCTTTTTTCTCTTAATATGAAAATAATTGCCTCCACTCTTGGAGACCTGGCTTAATTAGATTAATCTGATTTTTTACTGGTAAAATAACACTAAAATGTTACTGCTCCGAGTTCTCTAATTATAGAGCAATCTCACTTTTTCTTAACAGATACTAAAATCAAATGCTACAATGTTGGATGAGGTCATTGTGAATAGCTTGTTATAAGGGCTATTTTGAGGTACCATATGAACTTCAGTGGATATTATGCAGTGACAAAGAAACAATGTTTACTTCAGAAAAAAACTTATGATTTGCTACTACAATTTATCTAAACATTGGTGAGTTTCCACAAGTTATTTCATAAGAAGTATGTTCACTGACCATAACCTCCTGTTCTTATCCCTTAGACTCCTTAAATTCAACCCCTTCCTTGTTTCCCCTCTTAGCCACCAGCTCTCTATTTTCCCTCCTGCGTAGCCAGAACACCGTGATCCACCCTCTCCTTGATGGATCCTCTTACCAGCATGCTCAGCCCCCTTACTCCTTGAACTTCTGCTTATCTATTCTGCCAAGTCACAGCTCAGAGTCAAACAACCATCTGTTCTCCCTACTATTGCTTCTGGCTTGCCAAGTACTGCTGGAGAAATTGTATAATTGCTGATTCATGCCATGACAAATCTGCAACTCCCAAACTCACCTTGACCTTTAGCACTACTTGGCGAGCCTTTTACTCTTGCCTGGTTGGCTTCCTTTTTCACTGCTCAGGTGCTATTCCAAACCTCAAGTCATTGCTCTTCTCAAGTTTTCCACCATGCTTCCTGAAATCAACATACGACCTAACTTTCTACTGCAGGAAAAATCAGTGTTTAACTTCCCTCCTTTCCACTTTTTTTTTAAATAAAGATTTTATTTATTTATTTGACAGAGAGATTGTGTGCACAAATAGGCAGAGTGGCAGGCCTGATGTGGAGCTCAATTCCAGGACTCTGGGATCGTGACCTGAGCTTAAGGTAGAAATTTGACCGACTGAGTCACCCAGGTGCCCCCCTCCTTTCCACTTCTAATGGTCACCTATACCTTCACCCTCCCTACCTGTGTCCCAGAGATAATGTAGTCTATCAATTATCCCTATTTAATACTAGTTTTTGCTTTTAAGTTCTTTATTATAAAGCCTATATACATTATTACAAGACAAATGGTCTTCTTGAAAATCAAATCCAAGTTGAAGAAATAGGCATTGGAATGTTAGGGAATGAAGGGTGCTGATTGGCTACAGAGACGAGCACATCAGAATAGCAAATGTTCTTCCCTGTACAATCATTTGCAAGCAAGGACACAAAGGAAGGTGAGTTAGGATGCTGTGCGTTCACTGTTTTAAAAATTCTAACATCATTCTGCCAACCAAATGTCACGACTGAAATTTAAAGAGGCCATGCTTTAGTATCACTGCCATTTTTGTTCTCTACTATTTGCTACCACCCATCTCTACAGTCTAAAAAACTAATAATAATTAGTCTACTTAGTTCCTTCTTCTAACTGTGTGGAGTTTGCTCACCCTTGTTCAATCCAAACTTCATAGGAATTCCTAGGACAATCAGCGTTAATTACATTGTGCTCCAGCTGACATGACTGTTCTAATTTAAGGTCATTACACGAGCTATCATACATAACTTACAAGTGACACATATTTGCCTTAGAAAAAGTATTTGTTGAGACTGCCTAAAGAGAAGTTTTCCTATAGGAGATACTTATGGGAAATATGTTATCAGATCCAACGAGGGGCAGATCCAGTTTTTGGGGGGACCATGAGGAGTATATAATTTGGGGAATTCTGTCTTCCTAAATAAAAATACAAAATTATGGATAAAAAATAAGGTATTTTCTAGGCCTTTGAGAGAGGCCTATAAAGATGAAGGGCTCTGAAGTTTAAGCTTCATTAGCCTTATATAAATCAGCTCTTTTATATTTTGTATTACTTAGGGCATTATATAATCCCCAAACCAAACCAACAAAACCACACTAAAAAGTGAAGACCTGACATGAGACAGGATCTTCATATAATATTTCATTTACTTCTCATTCAGATCTTTTTATTTACCATTCTAATTTTTGCAAAAGTGGCACTTAAGACTCAAAGAATTTGGTAACTTGTTCACAGTCAGCTCGCTTCTCACATGGAAGCCAAGATTCAAACCAAGATCTAACAAACTAAATCTTGTGTTATTTCCACTACAATAATCAGCCTTTAAGGTTTCCTGAAACATGACGAGGTTAGGTTTCTTTGGAGGATGTTTCTAGAAGATGCCCAGAAATGCTCAGTTAATACTTGAAATTGACATGACTTAATTCATATGAGAACTTCACTAAAAATATTGCCCTACACCTGTTTTTAAAGGGCATGAAGAAACAAATATGTGACTCTGTGAGTTATTTTCTGCTCACTAAGTTACATAGATGAAGACAGAAGATCTTAGGGTCTAGGAGAAATGTAGTTCTGGCAAGGAGAGAAAAATGGGGCGGAATCAGAATCTGAAGGTAAGTGTAGAATCACAGACTCTCGGGAAAAACTATGGCTCTGGAAGGACATACTTGGCAGTATGGATTTTTCGCAAATTATATCCTCTTGCTATGTGTCCAATATTATTCTTCCTTGTCATTGTAATACATCAAGTTTTAAAGATAGGAATATAATGACTCATATATTACTCAACATTATACCCATACCTTAAATTTGTCTGTTTGGCCTCTATTTTTCAAAAATGTCTCTTAGAGATTTTCTCTCCTTCTTCTAAGACCCTCAGAAGGTAGATGCTTTGTATTTATCTTTTTCTTACTCTCAGAATCTGGCACTGTGACCTCCTGGTAGTAAACATTTCATGCTGCCATGGAAGATGGTGTTCATGAGTTAATTTTGACTGGCCACAAATTTCTAGGAATTCCATAATATAGATATGTTCTGATTCTATCCTCTTCAGAGACTTCAGAATAAAATACTGGGCATTGGTTAAAGCTAAGGCAAGAACTGGTCAGATGTATCTAATAATATTTTCATTCAATAAGCTGTCAATGATGTTGGAGACACTTAAAAGTCCTGGTGATTCTGTGGTCTTAGTGCCATTGTGACTCAAGCTGTAACTAAAATCAGTCCAATGCAACAGGAGATTCAAGAACAGCAGCAGAAAGATGATGACTTAACTGAATGGAACAACAAGGCACATGTTTCCAAGAAGACCTCTCTATTCTTAGAGTAGAAATTTCCCTTCAAAATGACAAGTGGTTCAAACCCTTCAGGATCTTACTTGCCTTCAAAACCAAGGTGAGTCATGGACAGAAGATGCCAAGTGGTAACTATCCAGAGGGAAAAGGAGGGTCTCTGTTACTAACTTAGGCTAAGGGCAGATATTATTCTTCCCACAGATGTTCCAAAATAGATGAGAACTACTTGAAGGAACTGAATGAGGACCTAAAGCTAAGGAAGCAGGAACTGCTAGAGATGCTAAAACCTCTTGAAGATAAGAACAATCTCTTATGCCAGAAGTTGATGTCTAACTTGGAGGAAAAACAAAGAAGGTAAAGGCCTTCTACTCAGGGTTTCTTAGAGGGAAAAAGGCTGGAGGACTTTAACCCAGAGGATTAACAATGATTATTTACATTTTTTAAAAGATTTAGATATTTAGCTATGTAAATAAAGAATTTGTAACCACAAAATCAGTGGCAAGTAATCCTTTGTTTTCTGTTAGTAAAATTAAATATGATTCAACCCTCAAGAGGTTAGAGTTACTACTCTTCTTCCCTAGGATGCCCATCCAAGAAACAGAGAAAAGCTTTAGTATTTCAGTTTATCTTGGTTACACTGATAGCTCCTTATTCGTGTTTGTGGGATCACTTTAGGATAGATGACTCTGTTCTTCCCATGCCAAGGAGTGAAATAGAGAAGTCTTCTGGGCCTAGGAGTCCTCCGGATTTAGAGTTTGGCTTCTCTAAATATACTAGGCAGATGAAATCTCAACTCTTATCTGGGCACTCACTGCTCTTGGGACCCACCAACTCTGTCTCCTTTCTAGTCTCAGATAATCTAACCTTAATTGGTCTACCTTCATTCTCTACTGGTAGAGTAGGCATCCCAGGGTGCTCAGACTTTTGGAGAACAAAGGCCAGGCAGAATGTTGTGGTCAAACACCAGCTGCTTACAGTGCAGAAAAAACCTTCTCTTAGGGCAAGAGAATACAAAGGTTCACATCTCTGCTTATAATTAAGGAGGAAAAAGTATAATGAACGTAAACATAAATTAACTCCTTTAAAGAATAGAGAGTCTTTGACTTACTTGGTATTGATTCAGATTTTGTTACAAATTTCTTGATGGCTTGGACTGTATGTTGGGAGCTATCATAAGGATATAAGGGGTTTCCCCAACTAACTCAAATGTCTTTATATGAGAAATACAAACAGAGATGGGGTAAGGCATAATTCTGGAATTTATGCTGAAGACAACAGATTCTTTGACCTCATTTTTCACAGGGGCAAAATCATCCTTTCTACTTCAAAAGCCATTTACGAAAACATTTTTCTGAAGGGGTGAAGAAGAGACTCACTGGCAGCTGGAGACCTAAGTTTTGAGCATTACTGAACACAGAACTCATTATAAAGCACAGATCTGAGGCAAATGTGGGTGGGGGATGAGATCATCCTATAGAGACCTTCTATGTCCAGAAGGAATTCCATTAACTCCTGTGATTTTAGCACCCATCTCATTCCCATGGTAGTCTATTTTCTGACTGCTTACAGAATATTAATATTAATCTTTAGGAAGTATTATGTTTTGTGATGTCTTTCTCTTCCTTCAAGTCTGCAGATTATGAGGCAGATCATGGCAGGGAAGGGGAGTGAGGAATCCTCAGTCATGGAGCTCATTAAAGAAGCAGAGGAGATGAAGCAGAATCTGGTAAGAGGTTGGTAGGCACTCTAAGAAATGGTCTCCGGTACAAGGCTCCATTCAATTGCTATTATCAGATGTGGAAGGAAAGAGAGCTCATCATCTAAGGCTCTGATACTCATAGCTCCTCAATCTAAAAAGGAGTCAGATGAAATGTTGGGCAGACTCAGGACTAACTAGCAAAAATTATATTTCTTTGACTTTTAAAAACTTTTCATCTAAAGGTTAGTAATACAAGCATATTAACCCTTCATATTTCATAAAGAATAGAAAATACCAAAGTAAAATAAAAGAAATAGTTTGCTCTGGGAGACTCTTAAAAAACCAACAAGGTAAATGATCTTAAAAATTAGAAATTAGTGGTCTATGCCCCAGAAAAATTGCCATATGATTAGAACATCTTAAGTGTTGTGTGAAGAACTCATTTATGTTGGTAACATATTACAAATACCATAATTATAGTTATTATTCAAAATTGTTATTATTTTTGTACTGTCATCTCATCAAACTCACCTCTCACATTCCTGGATTTTGGGCTAGACCTATTTATTGCCTTCCTCTATGGTTTGCTATATACCTGCATCCCCATCCCTTTCCCCTCATTACTTAATAATTTCTTCCAACTTCACTTTAGTGACTGGACAAACACATTTCTGTTTGTTTGGTTTGTTCTCCCCACCCCCCAACAGGAAAGGAAAAACAAGATGCTTCGGAAGGAAATGGAGATGCTATGGAACAAGGTGTGCCTCTAAGGATCTCTTGATAGTATTGTCTTACAGACCCTAAAGCAAAGAACTTCCCTTTCCTCATGTCCCCATTCTCATTTTGTCATGTCCCTGCTTCCACCCATATGTCATTCCAATCCATCCTTTGCACAACAGCCAAAGTGATATTTTGAAACAATCAAGTCATTTCACTTTCCTTAGGGAAACCATTTAAAGCTGCTCCTTATTGTGGCAAAATATGGCTGTTGCCTACCTCTAACCTCTCAAAGAAGTCCTCTCCCTACTTTCTGTGCAACCACCACACTGGCCTCCTTGTGGATTCTCAAACATGCCAAGACCTTTTTTTAATCTCAAGGCTTTTGCTCTGCCTGTGATACTATTTTCTTTTGGTTGGCTCACTCTCATCCTTCAGGTCTCCTTAAATGTCACCTCCTCAGGGAGGCCCTCCTTGTTTAGTCCATGTAAAACCGGGCACCCCTCCCCTACTTTCTATTGCAGAATTCTGTTTATGTCCTCCACAGCACTCTTTATAATTAAGCTCATTATTTTTATTTTTATAATTGTTATTTTACTTGTTTCTTGTCTACCTGGCCCTCTCTGGAATACAACCTCCTCCAGTTTCTTGATTTCTTTGTTCATCTCTGAATCCCTAGTATGTAGCACAATGCTTGGATTATAGTAGACAATCAATAAATGTAAGTTGAATGAATGAATGTATGAATATATAATTCTAATTCTCCTATGATTTTGCAAGAATCACTTCACTATTTAAAATACAATAGTAGGGCCTTTTGCTGGGAAACCATATGGGGGTGGAAATCCCTTTGTGGACTAACTCCTTGAGATCCGTGTGCTTTTTCATAGACTATAAAACTAGAAAAACAGATTGTGTCTGGTGATATAAACAGCGTGTGATGTGATCTCTGACTGTTTTTTTCATCTGACCTTACCACAAATAATCAGGATACCATCAAGCCCTGCATCCTGACCTGAGATCTGCTCCTACTTCTCAGAGGCAGCTACAAATCAGTTCTATGAATTATCAGTTTTGGTTCTTGATTTGAGTCCTTGTGATAGGAAATGTGCCAGCACAATTCCTCTATCAAAATCCAGCTTCCCCAAAGCTCCCAAAAGATTTTTTATAAGTGATGTCCACACACATTAGCTTGTGATTGGTGTTCCCTACTCATAATTTTAGACAGCGAGAAATGGAGAGAGAAGAACAGCAGCCCAGTGGTTAAGAATATAGGCTTTGGAGTCCACAAGATCTGGTTCAAATTCCAGCTCTGTACTCCTCTAAACAAATGACTTAGCCTCTCTGAATCTCTTTTCTCATTTATAAAATGGAAATAAAAATAGTCTTATGAGGATTAAATGAGAAAGTTTATAATGGAGTGTTGTAAATAAGTAATGTGTAAGTAGCTTACAGTGGTGATGACATATAATAAGGGTACAGTTAATAGGTCTTATTATTATAAGGTATACGCGAGACCAAACGGAAGGTCTTACTCCATTCCAAACCCCATTTCGTAGTCCACTTTTCATGTCGAACGCTGACAGGTTGCTGACTGGCAGAAACCAAAAGCCTTAACTTGTGTTGGTTTTCCACTTCCCTCACTAATTCCCACTAATTTAAAGCCTTGCCATAATGTCTCTCTACAGACATTCGACACAGAAGAACTCGGTGGTCAACAAAAAGCACTGCAGATAAAAAACAAAGCAGACTTGCACGATGGGAAGGCAAGTGGACAACATAGTACTTAGAATTTCAAGGTTGTTGACACCACATTGCTGGAAACAGCCTGTTGACAATGAAGGCTAATTTGGATAGGCAGATAGTGAGGATTTGGGCCTTTAGGTTAGGTTGGATTCACTGTCTGCTAAGACATTGCACTTCTCTTCTGGGACCTTCTATTCCTTTAGCTCTCTTCTTTTATCCCAGGTTCCCAAAACCCCCTCATCATCTAGGAAGACCAAAAATGAACTGGAGACATCATGTGCAGAGAAAGTGAAGGAGAAAAGGAAGGTAGTGTAATCTTTCTGAATGGTAGTAGCTTTTAGAACTGATGGATTAAAATTTTTAATGTAGCAGTAATCTGTCTAAACTACAATGCGCTTCTTTAAAAAAAAAAAAGTATTTTATTTATTTATTTATTTATTTATTTGATAGAGAGCCAGCAAGAGTGGGAACACAGGCAGGGGAAGTGGGAGAGGAAGAAGCAGGTGCTTTTGAACTGATACAAATTTTATAGGAGATCTGATTCCCTTGGGATATTATATTTGAGTCAGAGTCACACTGCAAGTTTCTGGGAAATCATGTTAGTGAAGGCAAAGTAGGAGAAACTACATGAACAATGACAACTCCACAATAACTATGTAATCTCAAAGTAATAGCTGATTTGTTTTCGAACATTTATTTAGAAATATTATGCTTGTATTTAATCTTCCCACAACATACTTATTCATAGATAAGTATTCTATTCATTTAGCTTTTAGCTTTTAGAGCACAGATTACACAGGTAGGGCCCTACTAAAAGGACTAAAAAGTTGAACCTTTTTAGTTTATTAGTGAATTTAATGTACTTTGCTACAACGTCTTTGCAGCATATTGAGAATAATGATTTCTGATCTCAATTTACTTTGTCACCCAGAGGCTCTTTATTCCACCAGGAAAAGCAACAGAGGAAAATGGAATGGGTCAGGTACCAGGAACAAGCCAACATCCTTCAGGTACGACAATCTTCCTAGGTTCGACATGGGATACAATTTCATTCAGACAATATAAGGTCTTTTAGTTTCATAATATTCACCCCAAGTCTCTCATCTGGATGACCAATTATCCTGCTTAAAGAAAACGTTTCATGGGGAGGTAACTGCAGAGACCTGTCTCCAGCTTCACCTTGAATAACTTAAATACATTTTTCCCGTATAGTCTTGATTTTGTTCTATTTGAAATGGGGGGAAAATCACAAATACTTTCTGCCCAACTTTAAAGATTGAACATGATGGGATGATTTTAAACTTCTGAGTAAAAAGGATCAGGTTACAGGTGCTTTAGAGAGGCCAGTATTATATGAGTAGTTTTGAAAATGTTGCCTTGTAGAATGACTTCAATGGCAAAGTGATTGAGCTGAGAATTGAAGCCTTGAAGAACTACCAGAAGGCCAATGACTTGAAATTATCCCTATACTTACAGCAGAACGTGGAACCAAAGCAAGCATATTTTAATCTTCCTGGGTCCCGAGGTAGGTGGAGTATCATAGGCACGGAGTTTGAGCCTTTATTTTATTTTACAGTGAACATTCTATTACTTATGAAGTGAACAGCACAATGCCTGTCACCCCATAAGTTAAATGTTAGTAGTGATCTAATAAATTTTATCACTATCATTATTACTCAGAAGCTCTTGTAAAGTAAGGATTCCTCTGGAGGAAATGAAATTTTCTTTTGTAAAGACTAAGTTACATATTATGTACTTAGTATACGTAGTTAGTACAAAGTTGGTACCTGATAATATATTAGTCTCCTCCCCACTTGTACCTTTTTCTTAGGAATTACTGTAGTTTGGTCTCATGAATCTTGTTGGAGTTAGACTCTGCTACTTCAGAACAGAAAACCAAAGAGATAGACTTCTGACAGTGGTTGTGAGTTTCACTAATCCAAATATTCTTCTGAGATTTTCAGCATTTCCCTCCAAAGAACTTATGGCATCATTAGAGGAAATTGTATAGTTTACTATAAAAAAATAAAAATAAAGGAACTGCTTCTGAGGGGCAGAAGAAAGACTTCTTAAATTTTCAGGGATCTATGAATCTGAACTCTGTATTTTGAAGAAAACCTATGCAATGAGAAATCATTGTAGGGGGGATAACAATATTTTATCAGTAACAGTGTAAGTATGTATATCTTGCATTTCTTTTTTAAAATGTATTCATTTGAGAAAGAGAGAGTGAGAGATTGAGAAAGCAGGAGTTGAAGGGAGGGGTGGGAAATGGGGAGAAACAGTATCCCCACTGAGCAGGGAGCACGATGGAGGTCTCCATCCTAGAACCGGGGGATCACGACCTGAGCCAAAGGCAGACACTTAACCACCTGAGCCACCCAGGTGCCCCTCTATATCTCTAATTTTTACTCAATCTTATACCATGAAGGGCTTGAACAGCTGATAAAATCACACACAGCACACAAGATTTAAATAAATAGATGAGTAAATCAAGAAAAAGGGAAAATAAGTTGAGCCCAAGTAAATACATGAATATGTATAATGAAAGTACTATATAGTTACTAGAAGCGGGCTTCAAACTTGGTTCTGGATTTCCCAGAAAAAGAAACATGGATTCACAGTGTCCACAAAATAATAATAAACCAATTGCTCAAGAAATATAGCTTTTACTAGTTTTGAGACCAGAGAGAAATTTCTTCTCCATGGAGACAAGACATTCTGTATGTGTTATAGTAGCTAATTTTCTCAATAATATTTCTAAAATGAATTCAGAATCTAAATTTTTTAGGCTGTTTCTTATCTTTTTGTTGGCACAATCTAATAAAAATATTAATTTGAAAATTTTAAAAAGCAGTGGGTCAGTTCAAGATGATTTGGTCCAGGTACATAGTACTGTCAGTCTGACTTGACTCATATATAAAATTTACAAAATCTAGGTTGGATTGACTACACATCCTTTAGCCAGTGTTCTACTTATATTTTTTCTTCTTCTTTTTTTAAAAGATTTTATTTTTAAGTAATCTCTACACTCAGTATGGGGCTCGAGCTCACCACCCCAAGAGTCACAGGCTTTATGGACTGAGCCAGCCAGGAGCTTATATCATATTTAATTTTTTTTCTTTTACCTGTTGTTTTGATAAGAATTGGACAGTAAGAAGCTCGAGGTTTTCTTCTCAAATAAGAACCTAGAATGCAATCAGAAGCAGTAAGTTACTAAGGTATAAATTAAAAAGCTAGAGGAGAAGAGGGTACAAGGATGACAGATCCTTGTTTTACTTTGTTTAAAATTAGCTGAAGGTCATCCGGAGGGATCTTAGAGTAAGGAGTTAAAAATCTTTTAGCTCCAGATTCAGTGCTTGATTCGGCAGCACATATACTAAAATAGCTCCAGATTCAAATCCAACCAAGATTAATAAGTAGTGAAGGGTTCCATTCGATTCAATCACCTTAGAAGATTTCTATTTTTCCCTTGTTTGCAGAACATTGGATCTTTGAAATTTGGACTAGGACAGCCCACAGATCAGTACTCTCTTTTCCCTTCTCTCCTCTTATGCTTCTGGAGAATTAAGTGATAGGGCACTAAAATTCCAGTTACCACCAATGAAAGTAGCCACAAGCATGTGTTACCCATTGTTCCTGTGCTTTATTGATTGTGCCTTCACTGAACACTGATTATAGGCCAGTTTCATTTTCTAGCACACACATATACAAAATCTTTGGGTTTATTTGAGCCTCATTGGATCTGAAATCTGAGTCTTAGATTTTGGTTATGTTGACCTATTTGTTTGACTATTGAAAAGAAAATAAAAGCATTAGTTTTTTTCATAGAGGGATTTTTAAACTAATTGTGTTAAGATATCATTACCAGCAGTGATATGATACAGGGAGGCGATTTCATTGTGCTCATGTTTCCCAACTTCTGTGTCACTTGATTTCAATATGTCACATATTGAAATCAGAATTTCAATATATTCTGTTTAGACTGACTTCTTTAATTTCTTAAATGCATTCTTGGAACATAAAATTAATATTACTATTTTCAATGAAAAACCGATAAAGCTTTCCAAAATTGAAAGTAAACTTAGTAAAGATACAGAAAAACAAAATTTTAATGTTCCAACCAGACACTAAAGCCTGAGGTCTGTTTTAACTTTATTAGGAAGTAAGATTAGCAAGATGTAGAGAGTTTTAAAGAAAATGAGCAACAAACTGAAACTTTCTCCTTGAGGCCATCAAATTTAAAGAATTGAAAAGGGAGTAATTTTCTCACTATGATTTACAGAGTGTTTAATGCTGTGTTCTATCACCTTCTAAATTTATCTCAGTTGCCATTCAAAATCATCTTGAAAAAAAAAAATCATCTTGATACCAAATTTTTGGAAACAGTATTTTATTTTATTTATTTATTTTTAAAGATTTTATTTATTTATTTATTTGACAGACAGAGATCACAGAGAAGCAGGCAGAGAGAGAGGACGAAGCAGGCTCCCCACTGAGCAGAGAGCCCGATGCGGGCCTCCATCCCAGGACCCTGGGATCATGACCTGAGCGGAAGGCAGAGGCTTTAACCCACTGAGCCACCCAGGTGCCCCTGGAAACAGTATTTTAATGGAAAAAGCACTTGATCTAGAGTCAGATATATGAGTTGCAGATCTTATTTTTGAAGCTGAATATTTAAATAACCTGGGAAGTCATTTAGTTTCAGTTTTTTCCTTTGTCTAAAATAATCAAAACATATTATAGAGCATGTTGAAAGCATGTGGTTTTGTGTAATGTTCACAATAGATGACTCTATGGGTTAGGTCTCATAAAACAAGAAACTAGAGAAGGCAGGCTTCTGATTCTGTATCCAAGCTCATCTCCTAGTTAAAGTATGGGATGTCTCATGACTCTTCCACCTCTAGCAGCTATGATTTAAATCCAAACTTATCACTGTTTAATGTATTATCCTCCCAATGAAGACTCATCCTCCCTATGGGTAATTTGGTCAGTAATAAAACAGTTCAACATGGGTTGACAGTTTGTAATTTTGCATTTATCCCAGTAGGTGGCACCAACCACATCTAGGCTTCTAGTCCACAAATGGTGATTTAGGAACCCTGATACACTGTGGGAGAGACTGGTCTTCTGTTCCCACAGGACAAAATGTGCTATATTTATATATCATATGAAAAAGAAATTATTGATGTTTTCTGCTATGCTCTGTTGCTCTGAGGTGTATTACTGGCAGCCTTGGTTAGACCTTACTAAACTCAGTATTCTGCTCTCCTGTTACTCTGCTTCTTGAACTATAGTTTCCTTGTTTCCAAAACATTCACTGTCTGCTTCCTTCACAATCCCTGTCTAATACTGTTTCTTTCAACCACAGATAAATCAGGTAATCGGGACACTGAATTATAAAATGAGTTGAGCAATTACACAAGGTGGTGATTTTTTGGTTTAAGTACTTAATAATGTTCCTACATATGGTTCATTTTCCTCTAGTCTCAACAGAATTGAATTTCACAAACCTGTCTTAAAGGATAAAATGTCGTTTGGGACATACCTCCCAGCAAATCCGGGTACAGGTCCTTCTGTTCTGGACATTTACATGTAAAGGAAAAGTTTCTCCCACTGCTCTTGGCCAAGAATTCTTCCTCCCGCATCAGCTATCCTGTGTGCTGGTTGGCTGTGTTGCAGTGGTGTGAGCTATTTGATTGGCAAAACAGAATTCTGTGTTACTATTACTTTGATACACTTTAAACAATCCCAACTTGCAAATTCTCTGGAGGCCCTGGTTATAGCATTACCATTTCCAGTGCAATCTATTTGGCATACTGCCTCACCTAGGCTTGTAGAAGAGAACATTTTACACCAAGTGAGTGCCTTCTGGGGACGAGTCACATTTGAAGGGATTTATTTTCCCAGCAGTGTAAAATTACAATTTGACCGAAGCTGTGTAACAGCCTTTCCCGGGCTTCTGTAGAGTCAAGAGAACAGTTCATGGCCTTTGGCATCCACCTATCTTAGCAGAGGCAAGAAGTAATCTTTAAATTCAGCTGAATTTCCCATCATGCCTGCTGGTAGTTTAAAGAAGAAATTTATCTTCGGTAATAATGTAACTGACGATAAGACATTTGATTCTGGACACTTCTTTTTTCTCCTCTCCCCTCCCCCCACCAAACTCGTACTCTTGGCATTTTCTTGAGAAGAAGCTGAAGGTTGGATGTGAATATTTTGCTACACTTATAAATTCAGATGAAATCCCAGTGAGGTGGGAAATGAATACTCTTGAGACCTTATTTATTCTCTAACTCCCTCCGTTCCCAAAGCAAGTCATTTTTCCTGGCTTTAACCTTTACTTCACTTTAGTATGACTCTTCCTGATGGCTGAAATATACTCCAGTAGGTGCTGCTGAAAGGAAAATAATAGTGTTAAAGTTAAAAGGCTGAAAGGCAGGGGTGGAAACCCACTGTTAGCTTGAATCTGGGTCCTTGAAAAATAGTAACATTCTCAAATACAGGCTTTTTAAAGCTTTGAGACAACTTGAACCTTTTGAATGTCAAAGTTAGGTTTATGGTATAGTAGTACTATGTAGTAGTTACTTTAGTAAATAATAGTAGATTATGAAGTTAATTTCTAAACTAAGGTGGTTTTTTTTTGTTTTTTTTTAACGTCATATAAAACCCCACAGAGGGACACCTGGGTGGCTCAGTTGGTTAAGCATCTGCCTTTGGCTCAGGTTATAACCCCAGGGTCCTGGGATCCAGTTCCATATCAGGCACCTTGCTCAGTGAGGAGCCTGCTTCTCTCTCTGCCTGCAGCTCCCCCTGCTTGTGCTCTCTCTCACTCTCTCTCCCTGTCTAAGCCAAATAAAAAATAAAATCTTTAAAAAAATAAATAAAACCCCACAGAAGTCCAGGGGGAGAATAAAATTCTTCTTTCCTAAATATAAATTCTGAGGGTTGAAAACAATAAATTGTACCTTTATTAATATTATGATTATTTCAATGAGGGACAATAGCTTCCAAACTTTTTTATATTACACGCAGGAAATTCAACAGGATTATTAGGATAGGGTTGCCATATATAGCAAACAGAAAGAGGATGTTCAGTTCAATTTGAATTGCAGATAGTTAACTTTTTAGTCTAAGTATTTCCCAAACATTTCATGGTTTTTATTGAAATTATTTGGTTTTTTATTGAAACCCAAACTTAACTGGTATCCTGGCAGTCCTAACTTAGGACAGACTCACTACAGAGACTGTTTAACATCCTCCAATTCTTCATTTTTCCTCTTTTTATTGGCTCCCTTCTTCTTCTCTATCTCAGCCTATGCCTGTCATTCTCCCTGCCTTCTCTTTTTTGTCCCCATGCCCACCTTTATCTTTTTTTGTTGTTGTTGTTCTCCACTATCTACAGTGAGCCATTTTTATGGAATATGTATCTGGGTTATCTGAGGGTGTGTATATATGAATATGATTTATCATTCCTTTTTTTCATTTAAAAGTTATATTAAAAGTACAGTTTTGTAGGTTCTCAAACAAAATTGTTTCTACTTGCATACAGTCCTCAAATGATTTTCTTCTGCCTGAGAGACATGAGCCCTTAGCTGAAATAGGTTTGCCATTCCAACTTTAAAAATAATGTTTAAAGTTATCTTCTAAAACAACATTTAGAAAATCCACGTTAATGCTAATACCAGAGTCATTCCTACAGTAATGCAATGATATGGTATGTAATCTGTGATGAATGTTAGTAGCCTTGCAACTCAAAATAAAACTGGGTTTTGTTTCATTTTGTTTTTTCTCAAAGAAAGCTCTCATTTTCCTAATGTTTCCCACCAGGTACTATAAGCACTACAACTACCGGCAGAACAAGTACCAGCAAAAATGAATCTAATGTGGTAAGAATTACTTTCATTTTCAAAATTATTTTAAAGGCTTGCATAGATAGTGGGTATAGATTTTTGGAATTTATTTATTTATTTAAAGATGTATTCATTTATTTCAGAGAAAGAGAGGGGGGAGGGCCAGAAGGACGGGGAGAGAGAGAAAGCCAAACAGACTCCTTGCTGAGTGTGGAACCCTACATGGGACTGGATCCCATGACCTGAGATCATGACCTGATCCAAAATCGAATCAGCTGCTCAGCCAACTGAGCCACCCAGGTGCCCCTGGAATTTATTTTATTTTATTTGTTTAAAGATTTTATTTATTTATTTGAGGGGGGGGGAGAGAGAGAGAGAGAGCATGAGCAGGAGGAGAGACAGGGGTGGGGAGAGAGAAGCAGGCTTCCCACTGAGCAAGGAGCCCAATTCAGGACTTCATCCCAGGACCCTGGGATCATGACCTGAGCTAAAGGCAGATGCTTAACCAACTGAGCCATCTAGGCGCCTCTGGAATTTATTTTTTAAAGCACATTCTAATTTAGTATTTTTAGGGGATATGCATAGTGAGTACCAGAGCACTTGATGTTTTAGCTGCTTTTTGTTTTTTGTTTTTTGTTCTTTTTTCCTCCTCTATATTGTAGAGAATTCTGGGATCAAAGACCTACACAGTGCAACAAGGAACTAGAGGAAGTCAGCTTGACGATGTAGGAGGGAGGCTCTTGTATCTGAGGTCACTGCCAGATGAAGCTCAGAAGGATTAGAAGGCTTTCACTCCATTTGCTTTGGGCAGATTTAAAGTCTAGGCACAACCATTTGTGTTAATTAAAATCTCTCAAACCTTTGCTTTAGTGTTGTTTACCGTGTCTCCACCAAACTGGGTGGAAATGCAGGTTAGATGCTTGACCGTAAGTATGTCAGGAATTTAGTCGTTTAGGGATTGTAAAAACAGTCTCTGATTATTTTGATAGCTCTTGATTTTGAAATGACTAGATTCAAACCATACTCTATATTGTTAACAAGTACATAAAATGCTGTTCCTCTCCACCTCTGAAATGTTTCATTCTGGGCAGATCCATCACTAGCATATAAGTAAAAATAGGTACAAAATAAGGAAAATTATGTGCCATACATTTCTCTTACTCTTTCACCTACCATGTCCAACTGCCCTGATGATTCTCTCTCCTACTTACATTTTCCTTGAATAACTTCTACCTTCCTATCTTCCACCCACCACTGCTTTAGTTGAGGCCCACTTTCCTACTTAGATGACCACAGACTTTTAATTGGTTTCCCCACTTCCAGTCCCTCTAACCCATCTTCCACGACACCTGAAGTGGTGTTTTCCAAAAAAGGAATGAGATCATGTTTCTTCCCTCCTGGTTTTCCATTGACTTTAGTATAAAGTCCAGCGCCTTCACAGACCATATAATGATCTGCCTCCTGCCTACATCCCCAGGCTCCTCTTTCACTGTATCTCCCTTTGCTCATGTATACTATATTCAGCTCAACAGACCTATTTATAACTCCCCTGATGTACCATGAGGTCTGTTATCTCCATGCCTCTACACAAAGTTGATTCTTCTCTTTGTGTGTTTGCACATTATCATTTGTCCTTAGGGCTGAGTTTGAGTCCTTCTCCTATCCCAGTGATTCTCCTTCCCAACTCTTATACTAGAATCTCTCTGGGAGCTTTTGAAGATACCAATTCACTGGGCCCCTCCCTTAGATCATTTAAATCATCTCTTAAGGATAATGTAAGAGCATCTGTATTTTTTAAAAGCTCCTTCAGAAATTCTTATGCACAGCCAGGTTGGAGAATCACTGTTCCAGGCTCTCTTGCCTTTATCATAACACTTAATGAATTATATTGCAATTTCTTATTTGTTTACTGAGCTATCTCCTTCACCAGATTGTGAATTTTTTGAGGCCCAGTACTATGTCTTGTTCATCTTTTCATTTTGACCACCTAATGCAGTACCTGGGGTTAGATAGAGACTCAGATATTGCATAAGTCCTCAGACAGTTAATTGCAAAGTCTCAGGCTCCCTTAACACCTTGTCTTATGTCAGTTTGAATCATACTGTAGTCCCTGAGATCTTCAGATCTTTTCTTTACGCTAAGTTGTCACTAATTTCCCATATCATGTCAATATGGGGAAAGTTGATTTGTTACAAAACATTTCCTAGTTTGTAGAAATTCCTTGTACGTTCTGGTAAGGAGCAAAGTAAGCCAACCAATTAAAAATTTTCTTTCCCCCAAGGTTAATTTAAATCTGTAAAGTTGTGTTTAAAATGTAATTTGGACTTGAAAAGGTTTACATGAAATCACAGAATTTGGGTATTAGAAGGAACTTTAAGTATGACTTTCTTTTCATTTTACAGAAAAGGAAACTGGAATTCAGATATGTTGAAAGGGTGTCCAAAATCCCAAAGTTAATTGAGCCTGGGTATTCTTACTACCAGTTCATATTTCAATCTAATTTCTATCTTTCCTTTCTAGACCACAAGAATAACAGGTTCTGCAGCCCTGACATGATTAGTTTCATATTCTCTCAACTGAGCTACCTGAGTATGTAATCCACGTTCTGTTTCAAGAAAGTCACCTCTGTACTTATTTAGTCCTTGTACACTTCAACAGTCCTGAGGGACTTTCCTAGTCATTTGGATTAGACAGAACAACGAGAACCAAAGTCAAGAACATAAATAAAATCTGACTGTACACTGACTACTTAAGTAAGTCATTTAATTTCAGGGCCTTAGAGTCCCAATTTTAAAATTAGATTAAAAGAGCACCACTCAAATGTTTTAAAATCAGATGTGTTGTTTGTTTGCCAATCAATAAGTTTAGATGAGTATCTGAACTTTTCCCTCCTATTTTCTTCATTAAGGAAGGCATGAATAAACTAGTTGCTAGGAGAGATTTATAACTTCTTAGAAAAAGAATCACTTGGCATCTCCAAAGTATTGAAATTCTATGTTAACTATGAGTCAGGCTTATCATCTTTCCCTCCAATGCTCCAAATCTTTCAGTCTCTTCAAAACACAAAATGGAAATATCATAGCCTTTTATCTTACTTTGTCTGTAAGACTTCACTTTGGACTCTGACTTGCACTTATATGCCAGTGCAAAGTTATCATTTGGCTGGTTATTTGTGGGTATCTGCATTTTGATAAATGCAGGATATGGATCTCAACTTTGTGGGTACAAATGTATTTGGTCAACTTACCTAACAGGTCAGAAACTCCCAAGAGATTCACTGATAAACCAAATTAATTTAAATTACACAGATGGCTATTCCTTCCAACGTGGTTGGAATATGTCTATGTGTAGGCCATTCCCATTTCAGAATCAAGTTATTAGAGAAGCTGAATTAGCAATCACAAAGTATTGGTGGAATTGAAACATTATTACAGTTTTATATACACTCATAATATTCCAATTATGTTTCTCTGAGAATAAAACCTCTGATCCTTGACTGTAGTTGGGAGATACTCTTCAGTTTTCACTTCAACTGAGGAAAACTTTGTCCCACTAGCAATACATTTACAAGCCATAACGTTGGGTAGTACTATCTTTGTAGCTACTCTTATTTATTTTACCTTAACTTCCGAACTATTCAGGGAATATTTGCCAACATTTCTCCTCTAAAAGTTATCTTTTTGCCATGACCACAAAGTGATTAATGATGCTTGTTATACTTCTTTCCTAAATGAGATAAGGCCAACAACAGCCTGATTGATACTCTCATCTTTAGTCTAAAATTGCAATCACCAAAGGGACAAGTGACAATATGCAAGAATATTGCCTTATGCTTTTAGATCCAGGCAGAAAATCTAGCTTCAGTGTTGCTTATGTGAACTGTGGGCACTTTAGATGGTGTCTTCTGTATTGGCAGAGGCTTCTGCAGTCTGTCACATGCCACGAAAAATTTCTAACAGCCCCTTTGGCACCTAAGGAGGAGCCTGCATTGCTCACAATTCGAAGTCCCTATTGCATGATATGTTCTGTATTTAATCATCAGATATTAGGAAATGTGAAGAGAACAAGGTCATGTTGGAAAGGGATACTTGCTCTAACAACCAATCAATCCCACAGTAGGAGATACACAGACAGATAAACATGAAATGTAATTATCCCATGGTAAAATGAGTTGTCCTGAAAATCCATCATCTTTGTTTCCTTCACATATTCATTTATGCTTCCTAACATTTCAAGACTTTATTTAAGATTCAATTTAAGCTAAAACACTGTATAAATATTCTTATAAACCATGTCTCTTCCAATTATTGGTCAACCTAGGACAAAATGAGGTTATTTAGGTTAATAAAAGAATTTTCTTTCCTTTTTAAAAATAATTTTATTTTCGTATATTGCTTTTATGGAGACAAATATATTTTCTTAGGGTAGCTGGGCTTTAAGCTATGTTTGATTACAAGGAAACCAAATAATAATAATGTTAGGTCCCCCACCCCTGCCCTGTACTACAGACGGCTCCCAGCCTGTCTCTCTCTGCCCACTGGCAGTGCGTCCCAGTGCGCCAGTTGTCCCTGCCACGCCTTGGGCCAAGGTTCAGCAGACCTCACCAAAATGCCATCTCAAATGGAACTTGCCATGGAAACCATGCTGTTCGCATTTCACAGGTTCCACAACTGCTGGGGATAAAGGCAGCAGTTAACAAAGGAGGACCCCAGAGTGCTCATGGAAAAGGAGCTCCTGGATTTTTGGAAAATCAAAAAAACCCTCTGGCCGTGGACAAAATAATGAAGGACCTCGATCAGTGCCTAGATGGCAAAGTGGGTTTCCAGAGCTGCTTCCTGCTAATTGCAGGGCTCACCATTGCTTGCAATGACTATTTTGTAATACACATGAAGCAGAAGGGAAAGAAGTAGGCAACATTGAGCAACACTTCTGCCCATTGAGAGTTCTCCTGAAGGGTCTCTTAAAGAATCTGTCCCACAGCTTCCCCCTTGTATAAAGGATTCCATGAGCAGATTAGGACTCTCAGAAAATGTACAATAAAATCTAACCCTCATTTGAGAAGCAGAGAAAGAAAAGTCAGATAAGCTTTTGACTTTTATATAGCTTTCATCCTCTTGCCCTCAATAAACAAATTCTGTTTTTAGTTCTTCACTTGAAAAAAAAATAATAATTTAGGAAAATGATGATGTTTTTGATTTTTTTAGAAGTTCAAAACTTAAACTCAGTCCATGTCAGTTTTCAAACTTAAGAATATCTTTTTAATAATTTTTTTTTTATTTGACAGAGAGAGATCACAAGTAGGCAGAGAGGCAGGCAGAGAGAGAGAGAAAGAGAGAGAGAGGAAGCAGGCTCCCTGCTGAGCAGAAAGCCCCATGTGGGGCTTGATCCCTGGATCCTGGGATCATGACCTGAGCTGAAGGCAAAGGCTTACCCCACTGAGCGACCCAGGCACCCAGGAATATCTTTTTAATTTTATTTTATTTGAGAGAAAGGGAGTGTACACAAGCAGCGGGGAGGGGCAGAGGGAGAGGGAGAAGCAGACCCCTGATGAGTTTGATCCCAGGACCACATGACCTGAGCCAAACGAAGATGCTTAATGGACTGAGCTACCCCGGCACTCTGGGACTATATTTTCTTGACTTGTGTGCATTGAGTCCTAAAACCTAAAGGCCTTGTAGACAGAGCCCTTTAAAAAATCAAAGAACTTCTAGGCACTTAACCCTACTTTTCCATTTAATAAATCTTACTCTCCTTTTTCTTACCTAATAATTCCTTCCTCTTCTATCAATTACTGTCTTTCTCCC